TTGATTAAATACGTTTGGAGTCGGATGTTCACCCTGGCTCTGAAGGTTTATTGAATGCGAGGTTATCTACTCGGATAGTGGTGCAACGCAGCGCACAGCGAGGCCGAGACAACAGGCCTCATCTCTTTCAGGGTTTATTTTGTCTGTCTTTAGGCTCCTTATCGATGCCCTGTCTCCCTACTTGTGCGTAGGCCGTTTGCATGAGGCCCTATTTGCAGGGCTCATCTGTTTATGGATTTGTACCCTGTTCTTTGAGGTCTTGTGTTTATTTTTTTATCTTTTTTAGGCTCTGTAGACCTAATTTTCAAGGGACTTCTGTCACCAGGTCCCGTCTACTTGACGCTTCGTAGGCCCCATCTCGTCAAGTACCTGTCTCTGCCTAGCCTCCTTGAGGATGTGGCTGTAGGACATGTCTCCACGAGGCTACCTCAAGAAGCCCCTGTCTCCAGTAGGCCTGGTCTCCAGTAGGCCGGGTTTCCACATGACCCTGTCTTCAGGGGGCCCCGTGGTCTACACGCCAAGTAGCGCTCCCAGCACCAGTCGCACACTTCTGTCGCCTAGTCGCTCATTTATTGGACACAGAGGCCACACATTGCACAGATGTTCATCACATGGTAGGGACACGTGTACAACCAATAGAATCGCAGCAACCGGTCACGCAACGTGTTGCAGAGCCTGCCACACACGTTGGACGTAACCACGCATGTATAATGCGCTATCACATCACGACACGACTCAGAGCCCCCCTAGTAGCAGCTCTCCCTGTGCGCACAAGGTGCCCCGGCACCTGGCTCTGCAATGGGCATTACTCCGCCAGTAGGGGGCGACTATTTCTGCGTGAAGAAGTTTATCGGTAATTTATATATTTGTTCAAAATGAGAACCGAGATTATGTTAGGTTATGGGGGGAACCAGGATAACCCCCAGAGTTCCTTCCCGGGCCATGCTTGCTACCGGCTAAGCGAGGTTGCATGCAACTCATTTCTCAGGAGTGGACCCAGTTTCAGGGCTAAATTCCTCACTCGGTATTGTGGGACGCTGCTGGGCTGGCTCTCGGGAGGGATTATTGGCGTTGTAAGCCACCGACACTAAGTGTAAATCACGCCCATCAACAACACGCTGTGTCGCAAGGACAAAACAAGGTGAGGTGGCGCTGCCGGAGTGGCGGTGCCAACGGATCCGGCCATGTGCTTCCCCGTGCGAACAGACTTCAGTTCCTGAAGAAGCTCCCAGCACGGAGAAAACGTTGCACGTCGTGCTGAAACGTCAATCCAAAAGCACACAGGAGAGCTGTAAATTAGCAGCAGTAGCACGACCACGACACCCACACTGCCATGCGGAGGTTCACACTTTAAATGCAGTGGCCGCCCTGGTTAATGCCGCGGTGCCTAGTAACCGTGCAAATACCACGTGCTGTTTCACACTGGACCTTCAAGATCCTGTGGTGTTATTTTCAAGAGTAGGCCATTGTGTCCCAGCGTCTCAGTACAGATTTGAAAAATGACACCGCAAACTACTCAACTGGAATCTGCATAGCAATCATCGCCCCCTACAGTTGGTAGGACCCTCCTGAAAAGTCTTGAGACTCCAGAATGTGTAAAAAAAAATCAGAATTACAAAATATGAGGAAGGTTTATGTCTATGTCTTATTAATGTCCTAATAGCGAGAAAGCACAGGTGTTTTGTAGTTTAATGTAATTACTGAGCACAGGCCCAAAACGTCAAGCGGTCAGCAACAAACAGCACTCTGAAAAGTGTGTATGAAAAAGATTCAACACGAGCCTAGAATTGAGGGATGGTGGAGGAGACCGATGTGGCCTAAGTCCTGAGTTCCCCGAGGGCCCCAGATTTCCCCAGGGTCCTGGATTCTCCCAGGGTCAGTGCGACCTTGCACCCTCTCTGGTTTGAACGTTAACGTAATGATCTAAAATCAAACTGTACAGGTCCATCCACTGTCAGCCAGTCCATCAACCGCTGCGCAGCACGCACACCCCACCTCTCAGAATCCTCATGCACAAGGTAAGAGGACATCATAAGCCATTATATATGTGATTTGTGTACTTTCAGAAAGCGTTTGACTTGGTTCCTCATGATAAGCTGTCGCGAACCATGATGGACATGGGATTCCCAGTACATCTGATTGACTTACTGGCAAAACTTTATCAGAAATAACTTGCTAGAGTCAAAGTGGTGGAGACACTGTCCGAATGGTTTCCATGTCAGAAAGGGAGTCAGACAGGGTTGTGTCCTATCTCCATACTTATTTAACATCTTGGCTGAAACGGTAATGAGAGAGACACTTGATGGTTTCTTAGGAGGAATCCAGATCGAAGGGTGATGAGTAACAAATGTTCGGTATGCCGATTACATAATTATTTTTGCCGGTTCTCAGGTGGAGTTGCAGGATTTGACAGATCGCTTAGATTGGGTTAGTCGCAAGTTTAACCTCCTCACCAATGTGGACAAGATCAAAGTGATGAGCAGTGATGGAGCAGCCAGCCACATCTGGATACAAGGTATCCAGCTGGAGAAAGTGGACACCTTTCCATATCTTGGAGCAGTCATCACTGAAGATGCGAAGTGATCAAAATAAATTCAAGCTAAACTAAGTAAGGGTCAGACAATTGGGTCATCCCTGAAGCAAATATGGAAGATTCACAGCATCCCCATTGGAACGAAGATCAGGCTTCTGCATGCCCTTGTGTGGCCAATTTATACGTATGGTTGTGAAAGTTGGACAATCAAGAATAACGATGAGGCATAAATAAATGCCTTTGAAATTAAAGGACTCGGGTGGATAGTATGTATATTGTGGACTGAAAAGAAAACAAATGAATGGGTTTTGGAGAAAGCTGGTGTTGAGAGGTGATAACATTAAGAAAACTATCCTACTATGGTCATGTTATGAGAAAAAATGGAACTTGATAATTGGTTCTTTACCCTTCTATCTGGCAACAAAACTGACACCTTTTTGCAAGGAGTCATGTTTGCATAGACCGCAATACATGCAGTCATAATACAAACAAAAGAACATAACTCTGATAATGTGCACTGTCCTTGAAGTTGATTGGTCCACACCCGAGACAGCTTTCCTTAGAGCCTAGTCTCATATGGGTTGGACCAGATGACGCCAAAAGGCGCACAACTCAAGGACAATGCACCATCAGAGTATGAGAGCTCGGGGCAAGCATCTACACTATGGGGACCTCATTTGCCAGTAAAAATATGATAATTGGTTCTTTACCCTTCTATCTGGCAACAAAACTGACACCTTTTTGCAAGGAGTCATGTTTGCATAGACCGCAATACCTGCAGTCATAATACAAACAAAAGAACATAACTCTGATAATGTGCACTGTCCTTGAAGTTGATTGGTCCACACCCGAGACAGCTTTCCTTAGAGCCTAGTCTCATATGGGTTGGACCAGATGGCGCCAAAAGGCGCACAACTCAAGGACAATGCACCATCAGAGTATGAGAGCTCGGGGCAAGCATCTACACTATGGGGACCTCATTTGCCAGTAAAAATATGATAATTGGTTCTTTACCCTTCTATCTGGCAACAAAACTGACACCTTTTTGCAAGGAGTCATGTTTGCATAGACCGCAATACCTGCAGTCATAATACAAACAAAAGAACATAACTCTGATAATGTGCACTGTCCTTGAAGTTGATTGGTCCACACCCGAGACAGCTTTCCTTAGAGCCTAGTCTCATATGGGTTGGACCAGATGACGCCAAAAGGCGCACAACTCAAGGACAATGCACCATAAGAGTATGAGAGCTCGGGGCAAGCATCTACACTATGGGGACCTCATTTGCCAGTAAAAATATGATAATTGGTTCTTTACCCTTCTATCTGGCAACAAAACTGACACCTTTTTGCAAGGAGTCATGTTTGCATAGACCGCAATACCTGCAGTCATAATATCAGAGTTATGTTCTTTTGTTTGTATTATGACTGCAGGTATTGCGGTCTATGCAAACATGACTCCTTGCAAAAAGGTGTCAGTTTTGTTGCCAGATAGAAGGGTAAAGAACCAATTATCATATTTTTACTGGCAAATGAGGTCCCCATAGTGTAGATGCTTGCCCCGAGCTCTCATACTCTGATGGTGCATTGTCCTTGAGTTGTGCGCCTTTTGGCGTCATCTGGTCCAACCCATATGAGACTAGGCTCTAAGGAAAGCTGTCTCGGGTGTGGACCAATCAACTTCAAGGACAGTGCACATTATCAGAGTTATGTTCTTTTGTTTGTATTATGACTGCAGGTATTGCGGTCTATGCAAACATGACTCCTTGCAAAAAGGTGTCAGTTTTGTTGCCAGATAGAAGGGTAAAGAACCAATTATCATATTTTTAATGGCAAATGAGGTCCCCATAGTGTAGATGCTTGCCCCGAGCTCTCATACTCTGATGGTGCATTGTCCTTGAGTTGTGCGCCTTTTGGCGTCATCTGGTCCAACCCATATGAGACTAGGCTCTAAGGAAAGCTGTCTCGGGTGTGGACCAATCAACTACAAGGACAGTGCACATTATCAGAGTTATGTTCTTTTGTTTGTATTATGACTGCAGGTATTGCGGTCTATGCAAACATGACTCCTTGCAAAAAGGTGTCAGTTTTGTTGCCAGATAGAAGGGTAAAGAACCAATTATCATATTTTTACTGGCAAATGAGGTCCCCATAGTGTAGATGCTTTCCCCGAGCTCTCATACTCTGATGGTGCATTGTCCTTGAGTTGTGCGCCTTTTGGCGTCATCTGGTCCAACCCATATGAGACTAGGCTCTAAGGAAAGCTGTCTCGGGTGTGGACCAATCAACTTCAAGGACAGTGCACATTATCAGAGTTATGTTCTTTTGTTTGTATTATGACTGCAGGTATTGCGGTCTATGCAAACATGACTCCTTGCAAAAAGGTGTCAGTTTTGTTGCCAGATAGAAGGGTAAAGAACCAATTATCATATTTTTACTGGCAAATGAGGTCCCCATAGTGTAGATGCTTGCCCCGAGCTCTCATACTCTGATGGTGCATTGTCCTTGAGTTGTGCGCCTTTTGGCGTCATCTGGTCCAACCCATATGAGACTAGGCTCTAAGGAAAGCTGTCTCGGGTGTGGACCAATCAACTTCAAGGACAGTGCACATTATCAGAGTTATGTTCTTTTGTTTGTATTATGACTGCAGGTATTGCGGTCTATGCAAACATGACTCCTTGCAAAAAGGTGTCAGTTTTGTTGCCAGATAGAAGGGTAAAGAACCAATTATCATATTTTTACTGGCAAATGAGGTCCCCATAGTGAAAATGGAACTTGTTTGGAAAAGCAGATTATGCAAAGCACAATACCCGGTTTACGTGAGCGAGGAAGATGAAGGATGATATGGATATATAACATCAAAGCATGGACAAGGCTCACGCTGAAATAGACAATGAGGATAATGGAAGACAGAATTCAGTGGAAAAGGATTGCCCATGGTGCGGCCAATCCTCGGATCGAGGATGGCTAAAAACAAGACAAGTTAGGGAAAATGTAAGGCACTGTGTATAACACACATTACACACACATATAGACAAAGATCCCCCGTGTAGCCTACACAGGCTCACGGGGCGAGTGCAGTTAGAGAGCACCTATTAAGACACGAGGGGGTGTGGGCCAGCATCACCACGCTCGGTCTCCATTGTCTCCCCAATGCTGATGTTTGTACACAATGGTAACAGGTACTCATTTTGCTTAAGGCTGAGTTAACCTAGGGGATGCCAAAAACCACCACTCACAATAGCTGTGAATGGGTAGCCAACTCTGGTAGTTCGGTGCTTAGAGCAGCGCACTAACCACTGCGCCACTGCTTCACGCCCTGGCCACACTCACACCCTGTCTGGCGCTGGCAGGGCCAGTGTGAGGTGCACACTTAGGTCTAGCTTATACATCGGAGTGCGTCGGTTCTCAGGAGGGGCTCATACACGGGAACCGTTGCACCGCATTGCATGACGCCCGGGGTCAACAGAGTAACGCATTTATGGTCACACAAAGACAAAGATCCCCCATGTAGCCTTCAACTAATTCGGGGCAAATGCTGTAAGCAAGTACCTATGAAGCCACGGCACATTTTTACACACCACGCCAGGTGATCATTTAATGCTGAGTCGACCTAGGTGAGGCTCCAGAAACCGGTTGACATATCCGTCACCGATGTTGGTGCTAACTACTGCACACATCACACACACACACTCTACAGAACAGGGGCAGAACACACAAACTCCTCACAGACAGGAGCCCAGGCCAGGAATGAAATCCGAAACCCCTTCTTGCTGTGAGGCACGAGCAATACCACTCCGCTACCCGAATGTAGCAAGACCCTCTCTGAAAAGAGTTGAGATCTCAAGTGAGACTTTTTTTTCCAAAAATCTTAATAACTCCATTAACGTCGGGTGAGAGACAGGAGGAAGAGGCACGCATGGGTTAGATAGGAACTCGGCATCACGGTGGTGCCACTGCTGACGGGACACGCCGCGGCAGAGCAGCCAGAGGAGGGCATACACCGGAGGATGTCTGCCACCAACTCGGAGCGACGGACTCGGCGCGCTTGCCCAGGACAACGGGCGGACTGCTACATCGCAGGACCCTGAGAGATGGCCAACAGCTTAGGGAGGCCTTTATCCAGTGGTAGATTGGTCGTGGTCATGGCAGAAAATTTGCGTCGTGTGCGACGACCGCAAACACAGTGAAGTGGCTCATGGCCACAGCGACGCGGTAGTGCAGTGTGAAGGCACTTGGTGTTATGGGGACACAGAGACGCAGGGACAGAGAGACATGGGGACACATATGCGGGGAGACAGAGACATGGGGACACAGAGACATGGGGCCACAGCCAACAACTTGCATGCCTGAGAATGAATTAAGTCATTGTCGAGGTCTCTCTATCACTGATAAAGATCCCCTGTGTCGGCTAAATAGGCTGAAAGGGCAAGTCGTTTTCGCGAGCACCTATTAAGGCTGGTGATGCTGCTACCGCTGCTGCTGGCTCCTCCTCTCTCACCACCAGCGCTACAGGCTGCTGATTGCGATTGCCTCTTTCTCTTTCACACTCTCTCTCTCCTTCTCCTTCATCCTCTTCTTCTCCCCCTTCTGCTGGCGCGAAGTCGACACCAGGTTGGCGACAGCCGTGCCGGCCGTGCCGGTCACCACGCAGCCCGCGCCGGCCAAGGTCCAGGCCCCCACGGCGCCGTCCTGCTCCCCAAACAGCAGCTGTTGCCACGCGAGGCTCAGCAGCACGTCCACGGTGCGCACCAGCGCCACGGGCCCAGCACGCTCCAACTGCAGTGCCCGGCTCAGCAGCATCTGCGCCGCCACGCCGAGCAGGCCAGAGGCGAGCAGAGCCGGTCGCAGCCACAGCGGGTTGCATGGCGGCAGCACCGGCGCCGCCCCGGGGTCGAGCGCCGAGACCACCGCCAGTGCAGCCAGCGCCAGGCCCAGGCCGATGACGCTGTAGAACCACGTGGAGACGAGGGTGCTCACCGCCGAGCCCATGCGGCGCAGCACCACGATAGTGACGGCCGACAGCAGCGCCGTGCCCAGCGCCGCCAGCGAGCCCCAGAGTCGGCGTGACGAGGATGAGGAAGAATCCGAGAGCCAGTCTGGGATGGGGGAGGGAGACGGGGTGGGGAGAGAAGGGAGGGAAAGATGAGGAGGGGGAGAAGAGAGGAGTTAATTTAATTAATTAGATTTACAGAAAGGTTGTGAATGAACTCGTCAAGCGCGGCGATGACTATGACTGCCCAGCACCGTCATCATCACCACCGATATTACCTACCCACTGTCACCATCATCACTACCAGCACCACGAGTCATCAGCTGCCCACCAAAGACTGGCCGACAGTGATGAGGCAACATTAATATGAGACTGATCGAAGATGCAGACCGAGTTTCTCTTGTGAGGTTACTGGAGATTGCGGCACGCGATGAACATTGAGGGGGAGGAGGGCGGTGACGCGGGTGGGAGGTAGCACGTTTCTCACTTGCCGGAGAGGATCACAGTTCAAATCCAGCAGCCGCACCGGTTAACACCATGGTGGAGGCATTAATCACACAAATACGAGTACTTGGTGTGGTGCATAAACATCAGCTCTGGGGAGACAAAGGCACCCGAGAGTGGTGATGGTCATGTCACCCCTCCCACGTAACATACTGCACTGGCCCCAATGTACTGCATTGGCTACACAGGGGACCTTCGCGTCTGCGCGTCCGTACCGTCACCATCTCCGTCGCCGAAGATGAAGGGTGGACGCACAATGAGGACAACTCCGGTGAGCGCCAGCAGGGTGAGCGGAGGCTCCCAGGGCCGGCAGCGCTCGCGCAAACAGCAGCAGGCGAGCAGGCCCGTGAAGGCCGGGCTGCTGAACGCGATGACCGTGGCGTCTGCCAGCGGCACCGAGCGCACCGCGAAGAACAGCAGCATCATCGCTGATGAGCCAGATACGGCGCGAATCACCAGGCTCACCCGTTGCCCCGGGGGGCCCAGCAGGGGCTGCCTACACAACCGCAACCACAACCATGTCAACAACAGCCAGCCACATCAGCATCATCAACCACCACCGTGTCAAGAGTTAAAGAAGCGCTGCAATTGAACGGCTACAATTATGCACAAATCATCGGGGAACTGAATGCCAAAACCAAATCAAATAGCATAAGTGTTGAAATTGATCAAGCAATTAAAATTATTCAATTACCATACATTCCAGGAGTAACTGATAAGCCAGCCAGATTTTTTTTTAAACAAAACATTCGAGTGAGTTTTGGAATGGTACATAAAATACAAAACCTATTATCTGGTACTAAAGATATATTACCGAAGCTATCAACAAAAGGTGTGTATCAGATGAATTACTCCTGTGGAAAATGCTATGTTGGTCAGACGGGACGAATTATCAGCATAAGAATAAAAGAACACCAAAGAAATATGAAATACTCCCAAACACAACTGTCGGCAGTTGCAGAGCACGCTGCCAACAAGGTCACAATTGATTTTGATAATGTTGAGGTTTTGTGTACTCCTGGCCAAGAAATAATGTATTGAAATTGAGAGAAATATAAATAATAAATTTCGATTTAAAGCTTTCGTGACTACATGGATTAATATTCTTGGTTCTTTCGGTAAAGTCACGTAGAAGGGAAATAATAAAATAATAAAAATAAAACATAATAAGATAAAATTCTCACAATGTTTCGGCCACAATGCAAGCAGCCATCCTCAGATGAAGAACATGGGTGTCGGAAAGACAGCGTCCTAATGAACACTGCTAAGCTTGGCAGTGTATTTTTAAGCTGGGTCGGAGGAGGAGAGAGACTTGACAAAGGAGTTTACATATCAACAGTGGAATTTAGCATATTGATGACAAATGCAGATATGGGATTAGTCACTACTTGTGGAATGTGTAGGTGGTGGGGGGTCTCAAAGTCTTATTATGCTAGTAAATGATGTAGGATTAGCAGTGATAACAGGAGGGAAATAGGATTAGCAGTGATAAAGAGAGGGAAATTTTTATAGTAAAGAGCTGCAGCAGCCAAACCACCACGTAGCAAGCTCGTGCATTGTGTGGTCAACAAAAAAGGAGTTTCTAAAGAACTACAAATACCCTACTGCCATACAATACACCGATGTGAAAAAGTAAATATAAACTACATCAATAGAATCAATGTATTCAATATACTCTCCAATAAGCTGAGCTATTGACATTAAGTAACTGGGTATACACTAAACTATATAATGACTACCTATATAGTAAACTGATAAAAAACTAAAATATAAACTACATAAATATAATCAATAAACTCAATATACTCTCCAATAAGCTGAGCTATTAACAATATACATTACACTTCTATGTCGACACCGTACTATGCACTGCCATAGACAAACCTCAACATTGAATTATATACTGCGTTACTATACACTACCCTATACCTTAGACTGTACATTGTAATATTACACTATGTATTATTCTACAAACCCTAATGTATACCACAAAGTTGTACATTCACTATAGAATTATGATACTATATATTACCTTATACATTCTAGTAAACATTACACTAGTATACTATTTATTATTATACAATCTACTATACACCATACCATTTACAGTCACGTGAAGGTACTAAGAGGAAGAAAATAAATATGTCAATGGGAGAGTGGTAGCAGGAAACTTGCAGCGGAGCAAAGACTCTGATCCATGAAGAGAAAACAAAAGCTATATAGTCAATGCCAGCGAATGTAATGCGTTCTGAAAGTCACCGTAAACATGAACACAATCAATCAAGACCTGAAATGGTTTATCACGTCCTTCCAATGATTGCTGAGCCTGAATCCATCTTCTCGATTGAAATTGTCTCTGTGTTTGTATATGTGGATGGCCTCATGAACGAATCTCTCATGGTAGCTGGATGGCTGAATCAGAAATGATTTTGTTGGTTTTAATGACGAGGCTGTTGGTGGGGTCTCTTTTTATTTTTGTATAGCTACTCAACGATGGCAGCTATACACAAATAAAAAGAGACCCCACCAACAGCCTCGTCATTAAAACCAACAAAATCATTTCTGATTTAACCGCATTAATTGATAAAACCAAACAGTTCTCGTTGAAAACTTCTGCGGCCAGGCCACCAAGATTACATGGCTTACCAAAGATACATAAAGAAGATACACCCCTTCGTCCCATCGTCTCTACCATCAACTCCCCCACCTACAAACTGGCTAATTTTTCGTCTGAAATCCTGTGGCCTTTCACTGGAAAAACCACCTCTGCAGTAGTAAACTCTACTCACCTGGTATCGGCAATCAAGGGTATTTCTCTGTCCCCAGACGACCTGCTTGTCAGTTTTGATGTGGTCTCATTATTCACCAAAGTTCCTGTACCTGACACCATTGCAATCATTGAAGACTTGGTTCATCAAGGACTGAACATTGAGGTACCCCCCCTGGTGAGACACTGCTTAACCAATACATACTTCACCTGGAATGGAACTTTCTACAAACAAACTGAGGGCACCCCAATGGGCTCCCCCCTATTTCCGATTGTAGCCAACGTTTTCATGGAGAAATTTGAGACTGACGCCATCCAGACTGCCACTCTATGCCGGACCTTATGGAAGAGGTACGTGGATGCAACTTTTGTCATCTGGCCACATGGCCAGCATGCTCTAGACCAATTCCTCGACCACATCAATTCCATATACCCAGCCATCAGATTTACCATGGAAGTCTAAAAAAATGGCAAGCTACCCTTTTTGGATGTCCTAATAAAAAGAGACCTGATGGTTCAATGAGCCACTCTATCTACAGGAAAGCTACCCATACGGATGCTTACCTAAAACCGGATTCCCACCACCATCCATCCCAGAAGAATTCCCTCATCGAGACTCTACACCATAGAGCCCAATGCATCTCCGACCAGGAACACATTGCCAGTGAACTCAAGCACGTACACCAAGCTCTCAAGGCTAATGGTTACTCCGACTACACAATCCGCAAAGCCATCACTCCAACTATGAAGAAGGATCCTCTTGAGGAGCCATTCAAAACCATCACCTTACCCTACATTGCGGGGGTCACAACAAAGATCTCCAAAATCCTGAATAAACACAAGATCCAGGTCCGATCTAACACAGTACATATAATCTGTGATCTGGTCCCGTCTGTAAAAAATGTAATTCCAGACATACAGTACGCTGGCGTCTACAAACTAAGTTGCCTCTGTGGTTGCAGTTACATTGGGGAAACCAAACGACATGTCTCGGACCGCATCCGTGAACACAAGGCAGATCTGAAACACGTTATAATTCAGTGGGCTCACATGATATTGACTTCTCCAAGACGGAGGTTCTCTGCAAGCCATCTGGCTACCATGAGAGATTCGTTCATGAGGCCATCCACATATACAAACACAGAGGCAATTTAAACCGAGAAGATGGATTCTGGCTCAGCAATCATTGGAAGGACGTGATAAACTATTTCTGGTCTTGATTGAGTGTGTTCATGTTTACGGTGACTTTCAGACCGCATTACATTCGCTGGCATTGACTATATAGCTTTTGTATTCTCCGCAGGGAATGGAGTCTTTGCTCCGCTGCAAGTTTCCTTCCACCACTCTCCCACTGACATATTCCTTTGCTTCCTTTTAGTATCTTCACACGACTGTCAATGGTACGGCGTATAGTAGATTGTATAATAATAAATAGTATAATAGTGTAATGTTTAATAGAATGTATAAGATAATATATAGTATCATAATTGTATAGTAAATATACAGCTGTGTGGTATACATTAGGGTTTGTAGAATAATACATAGTGTACTATTACAATGTACAGTCTAAGGTATAGGGTAGTGTATAGTAACGCAGTGTATAATTCCATGTTGGGGTTTGTCTATGGCAGTGCATAGTACGGTGTCGACATAGAAGTGTAATGTATATTGTTAGTAGCTCAGCTTATTGGAGAGTATATTGAGTTTATTCATTATATTGATGTAGTTTATATTTGAGTTTTTTTTATCAGTTTACTATATGGTAGTCATTATATAGTTTAGTGTATACCCAGTTACTTAATGTCAATAGCTCAGCTTATTGGAGAGTATATTGAGTCCATTGATTATATTGATGTAGTTATATTTAGTTTTTTTCACATCGGTGTATTGTATGGCAATAGGGTATTTGTAGTTCTTTAGAAACTAGTTTTTTGTTGTCCACATAATGCACGCGCTTGATACGCGGTGGTTTGGCTGCTGCAGCTCTTTACTATTAAAACTTCCCTCCCTTTATAACTGCTAATCTTATTTCCCGCCCGTTATCACTGCTAATCCTACATAATATACTAGCATAATATGAACACACTGTTTAATTGCATGCCTATACAGGTCACCAAACATCGATGGTGATTAACTGCGAGCAGCCAAAAAAGGCACTGCATATCCTCTGAAATTAGATTAACATAATTAGATTAACATAATGTATATACATAACACATGTACATATCTATGTTGATTAACTGTAAATAACCCAACTAATAATAGATATCCATTGTAATTCATATGACATTAACTTCCCTCTGGTCTTCACACAAGTGTAGTGACTGATTCGGAGACGCTAAGACTTGGAGGCACTTCTTTTATCAACCGAGCACCTTTTGCACAATACACACCCTACGCTGGTACACACTCTCTACGTGGGTAGCTAGCCTATACACAACACTAGCCGTCTAACACTGACGTCACTGAACTGAGACAGCCAACTACCGTCTAGCAGTGCAATATCGAGTGAAGACAACAGCGATGATGGCGACGAGACGACAGCGATGATGGCGACGAGACGACAGCGATGATGGCGACGAGACGACAGCGATGATGGCGACAATCTCCAAATGACAGCCCCGAGCTCTCGCTCAGGGTCCCCTTTTATGCTCCCAGCGTGGCCTCGCTCTGCCCCGGCCACGCCCCCTCTCTAGAACCTACTAGCAGGTTCCCAGGCTTCCCCCACGTGCCCCTTCTGTAACCTTTCCCCCAGATATCCCCTCTGGTGTATCACCTGGCCTGCCGACGTCAGGGCTGCTGTAAGCCGTAGATCCCCTTCCCTACCAGCAGCCAGCACTCGAATTGTAAATCTTGTGGGTTTACTCTCCAACCCACTGGTGTGCTGAAGCAGTGATGCATTGGGATGTTTTGTTTACGTGACAAACCTTACTAATTGGAGGTGTCGGTGGTGGCGGGTTGAAAGACACATTTATATTTACACGATCTAACCCAAAAAAAAAAACTCTATTACAGACAGTGGTGGGTGTACACCTAGGACCCCATTCAAACCCACTGTAACCTGGCCTCAGCTCGTTGATAAAAGTTGCAAGCATAAATTTCTACATCGCTTGCAGCTGGGGTTAGCATCATCCCTCCCTCCTGATGCCGAGGGGAAATGGGTGACATTCAAGACTCTGGCTCATGCAACTGCCACATGGCTGCATTGAGAACACAGTCCGGACCTCTCCAGAGACGCTGGGTAACAGAGGTGTTCTGGCTAGCTTAGAGAAAGCCACAGGCCCATTCCCACACCTACAGCATCGCACATAGGAGAATGAGGAGGCTTACCGCAGCCTTCACTCGGAGGTTTGGAGAGCCGTGTAGGACTACAAGGATGAGTGGTGGGCGTGGGTTGCTGAGGAGATGGAATCTGCCTCAGTAGCCCACAATCACAAATCACTTTTTAATTCCATCAAAAAAGTAATTTGCAGCGCCTCACAGACCACCATCCTTAAGGAAAAGAATGGTGATCTGATCTCCGACACCAGTAACTGGTCTGCAGGTTTTCAAAGCATTTCTATGAGGTTTAGGGGGAGGAGAATTCCCTCAGCTCAGGCAACATTATGGGGCAAGATTGAGATGACTCTGCTGGGGCTGCTGTGCCTCAAATATTGGAAGAAGTCACCCCCTGTGAGTGGCTGGCTGAAGTGCCATCTGTTGAGGAAGTACGAAAGGCAATCTAGTGTCCGAGACCAGAAAAAGCACCGGGCAGAGATCATCTCCAAAGTAAAATGCTGAGGGAGGGTGATGTTTGTGGGCAGACTGCTCTATATGACATCATAATAACTGTCTAGACCACTGGAGGGGTTCCGCAGCATTGGAAGGATGCCCTGGTAGTCCCCCTCTTTAAGAAGGGGGACCGCACATACTGTAATAACTACAGGGGCATCTCCCTCCTCAGTGTTCCGGGAAAAGTCCTGGCAAGGATTATTCAACAACGCCTTGCCAGACACGTTGAGCAAAGGCTTGCGTAACCCCAATGTGGTTTCAGGCGAGGGCGGTCTTGCACTAGATGCCATATTTTCTGTCCGCTTGCTACAGCAGAGGTGTAGGGAATTCCAACAGGACCTCCATCTCTGCTTTATTTACCTGGTCTAGGCCTATGATAACATCAGTAGGCCTTGGCTCTGGGTTGTTCTTCGTGCTTTCCAAGTCCCTGACTCTCTGCTCACAATCATTCAGGACCTTCATGATGGTGGGCAGGCCTGGATAAAATTATATGGCTGCGAGTTGGAGCTATTCCCTGTTCACCTTAGGATGTACAGGGATGTCCTCTAGCTCCCACATTATTTATGTTTCAACCACATAGTTTGTGAAACCTTCGATGGCTGTACCGGAGGAATTTCCATCTAGTACAGATACAATGGGAGGCTGTATCGACGCCCAGGTGCGGTCCAGGGATGGCTCCCTATGGGTCAACTATGTTATGTATCCTGATGATCTGGTGATTGCTGCTCACTCAGAAGAGTTTGAGGCGCAGCTGCTGTACCTGGAGCGTGCTACTAAGAGGTGGGGCCTTACCATCAGCCCCACCAAAACTAAACACCTGCCTGGGTATTTTGTGCCATCAAACACTCCACCCCCTCACCCAATTGGTGATAGGGCAGTTGTGTAGAGGGGAAAGTTTTCCATACCTGGGCAGTGTGCTCATGACCAGCAGAGGTCTCACTCCGAATCAGTCTAGCAGAATTTTCTTTTCATCGGCTGCGTAACGCTGTTTGGAAGCGAAGCTTCAGGTCTTCTCAGCCAGTCATTCCCTCCCTTCTCTATACTTGCGAAACATGGACCCCCCCCCCATTAGAACATCTTCGCCGATTAGAAGCATTTAGACTGGCCTGCCTACGATCCATCCTGGGTTTAACAGGCTGGATTGTGTGAGGAGCTCACGAATCCTTGAAAGATCTGGACAAAGTCCCATAGGTGAGCTCCTCCGGCAAGCAATGCTGCATTGGCTGGGTCATGTAGCCCTCATGCCCAGCCACCACAAGCCTAAACAGCTTTTGTTCGTCTTCTTGGTTCTTTCGGTAAAGTCACATAGAAGGGAAGTAATAAAATAATAAAAATAAAACATAATAAAATAATTCTCACGACGTTTCGGCTACAACGCAAGCAGCCGTCTTCAGGTGAAGAATGAGACACTACCAAGCTAGGAGCTTATATATGCGCTGGGTTGGAGGTGCAAGAAGAGCGCCTTAACAAAAAGAATGTGCATATGAAGAGGAATTTAGCATATTCATGGGAAATGCATAGGAGGTGGGTGGGGGGGTTTCAAAGTCATATTATGCCCATGCATTATGCAGGATCAGCAGCACCAAGGGAGGGTGTACGGAGTAGCATTAACAAAGGAAAGGAATGTTAATAGTATGTAGCTGCAGTTACTAAACAACCACGTAGAAAACTAAAGTATAAACTACATAAAAACTATAAACTGCATAGCACCATCAGTGTATTTTTCGATTTAAAGCTTTCGTGACTGCAGGGATTCATCTTCTTGGTTCTTTCGGTAAAGTCACGTAGAAGGGAAGTAATAAAATAATAAAAATAAAACATAATAAAATAAAATAATTCTCACGACGTTTCGGCTACAACGCAAGCAGCCGTCTTCAGGTGAAGAATGAGACAATGCCAAGCTAGGAGCTTATATATAAGCTGCGTTTGTTAAGGCGCTCTTTCTTCCACCTCCAACGCAGCTTATATATAAGCTCCTAGCTTGGCATTGTCTCATTCTTCACCTGAAGACGGCTGCTTGCGTTGTAGCCGAAACGTCGTGAGAATTATTTTATTTTATTATGTTTTATTTTTATTATTTTATTACTTCCCTTCTACGTGACTTTACCGAAAGAACCAAGAAGAAGACCATCAGTGTACTTACTATACTCTACAATAAGCTGAGTTACTCACAGCAAGTAATACATTACAATTCTACGTCGTAAAAAATTATATAATATGCTTCCATCTAAACTTTATTCTCTTTTGTTCGGCTGGATAAAGGAGGCCAAACGTGTGTGGCATGGGCTAGAGAGAAGTGATGTGGTATAAGAGGATGTGCGCCGAGTGGACTTGCGGATGACTGGTACTAGCAGTGTCAAAATCGGCCTCTGTGGAGGAGGCTCGTACAGGACGCTACTGGGCAGTTAGAGGCAGTCACTCCAGCAACAACAGAGGGCAGAGGAGCAATGCTCACGACAATGAGCGGAGTGCCGGGTGGCTAAAACACAGCAAGTTGGCACAGTAGGGAGCACAGGTGGTGCATCGGCAAATAAACTCAGTCAGTCAACCCATGGCACTTGTGTCTCTCATGTGCCTTCCTGCCAGCTGGCATTCGACACTTCACCTGGCCTTCACGTTCACATAGCCTGGTACAAGCGCCATAGTGGTGTCACCACCACTTAGTGGCGAATGGTGGTTGTTGTTGTCTATGTGTAGTCGTGTGTGGGTGTAGCCGTGTGTGTTTGTAGCCACGTGTGCATGCGTGTGACCCCGCACCCCGTGTAGAGGAGCGCCGGGAGGATGAAGACGGCTTGGAAGAAGCAGCGGCACGCTGCCACGGTGAGTGGGTGCACGGGGTCCACGAGCTTCACTAGCGCCGAGATCACTGAAAAGATCAGTGACGAGAGCAGCGCGAGCAGCAGGCCCAGACCAGGGCAGCACGGCTTGGGGGCGGGTGGCGGCACCCCTACAGCACACACACAGCACACACACAGCACTCACACTATATATACACACAGAGAGTACACACACAGTATATACACAGCACATACACAGTATATACACAGAGCACACAAGGGTGCGACGATGGCGAGATGTGAATTACCTTGCCTGGTATACAGGAGTATTTGGGTTCGATCCCGACCCCAACGTCTGCATATTTGGAGTTTGCGTATCTCTCTCCCCGTGGTCGCGTGGATTTTTCTCTGGGTCCTCTGGTTTTTCGCTCCACATTTAGAAACATGCGTTCAGAGTATTTGGCTTGCGATACATTTCCACATTATAAGTTACTTTGTTGAAGTATCATTTGTGGCCAGCTCACTTATGAAAAAGAGCTATATAGCTCAGTGGGCCTTACCTGGTAAAATAAGTGTATTTTTGTTTAGTTTAAATAGAAATAGTATGTATACACAGCACACACACATTATATACACAACACACATGATATACACACAATACACACAAAGTACACGCACAGTCACTATTGTTGGCAGTCGCATCGGCTTGATAGCGGTTGAGAGGGAAGGTTGCTGTTGACTCGGTATGTCTTAACGGTGGATCAGGAGACCGATACGGGCAGTAGACCTCGCACGCACTTGAACTCTGAAGGTTCAGCCCCTGCTCACCGCACGGAGGGTGGCACCCTGCATGGCTGCCGTTTTCGTCGATTTTCAAATCACCGCCGTCGTACAGCACTGTCGATGCTGCATGCAGCCAGCGATCGTCGGGTTAACGCCTCCTCCTTGAAACACCTCCTTTGTCGTCCAGCATGGCGCTAGCCCATTTTCATATCTCCACGGTGCGGTGTGCATTTATTAAACATGGTGTTAACCATGCAGAGCGCATGTCCGGTCCATCTCAGCTGTGTCTCGACAAGGTACACTTCGGTGCCTCTTGCCTGGGCTCATCACAGCACGTCCTCGTGTGTGATTGTGTCCTGGCCATTTTAATTCGTAGAATTCTCCACAGGAGCCACGTGTGAAACATCCCAGCTGCGGTTCGCACATCGCCCTGCAGAGTCCACATCTCACAGCCGTGGAAAAGATGACCAGTGAGATCAACTGCCTGGTAGACTTCGATCTTCATTGAAACTCGGTCCGCGTTCATTCCACACTCTGTTGTGCAGTGTAACGCTATGGTAATCTAACACTCGCTGTACGTGACTTTACCGAAAGACCCAAAGACTACTCGCTGTATCATTGGGTCAACGTTACTTCATGCTTGTGTAGAGTTCTGATGTTAATTGCTTTAACGTTCACAAACTGTTATCGACTCGTCCATACCAAAATGTTGCACGTTCAATGCTATTGGGGGATGGCACCATGAGATGAGGGCCATCGGGGGCGGGGAGGTGTCGAGATCATTGGGCATTTGTGAAAAAGAGCTTCTTAGCTCATCGGATTCCTCAACTCTAAAATAAAATTCTGATTCTGTTAGTTACCTCACCTCTGCAAACAGTAGTTCAGATAGTAAAAGTCAGCATTTCCAGGAGGTGACACTCTGCAACACCTGATCACACTTGAACAGGTGTTGTAAAGTGCACGGACCACGTTGACAAATATGACTGGGCTCACCAGTTTGGACAGCAAGGCACAAATGGCAGATTGGTTCATGGTGTCAAATGGTTTTGTACAAAAATAAAGTGAACAATGTACAAATGTGGATTTTGTTCTCAGCACTTGTCCTGGATGAGCCTAACAGAGAAAACACAACTGGAGATGCCGAGGGCCGCTCTAAGACCTGACTGAAATTCAGTAAAGACACTAAACACGGTGCACACACAGCACACGTCATGGTTCAATCAAAACAAGTCATTCTCATTGCTACTATCCTCAAACACACAGAACACACACAGCATATCTGGCTTTCCACACACAAAATAAACATCGCGACTCATTTAAATACTCGGGCGACTCGTGATCAGAGCCAGGCTAGCGTGAACAGTGCCTGGTGAGCTGCCAGATGTTATAAGAGGCATCGGTTTTGAGGTATGGCTCCGATTTCATCTGCTTACATCATCACGCCCCGCGCCTCATTGCGTAATCCCCCCCACCCCCTCGTGTCTCTTTCTCCCTCCTCTTCCCCCTGTGCCTGTCCGCGCGTCTCACCCTCCCTCCCCTCGCCTCCCTCCTCCCCGTGTCTCACCCTCCCTCCCCTCGCCTCCCTCCTCCCCGTGTCTCACCCTCCCTCCCCTCGTCTCCCTCCTCCTCCCCGTGTCTCACCCTCCCTCCCCTCGTCTCCCTCCTCCTCCCCGTGTCTCACCCTCCCTCCCCTCGTCTCCCTCCTCCTCCCCGTGTCTCACCCTCCCTCCCCTCGCCTCCCTCCTCCTCCCCGTGTCTCACCCTCCCTCCCCTCGCCTCCCTCCTCCTCCCCGTGTCTCACCCTCCCTCCCCTCGTCTCCCTCCTCCTCCCCGTGTCTCACACTCCCTCCCCTCGCCTCCCTCCTCCTCCCCGTGTCTCACACTCCCTCCCCTCGCCTCCCTCCTCCTCCCCGTGTCTCACCCTCCTCCCCCCTCGTCTCCCTCGGCCTGCTATCCGTGTCCCTCCCTCCCCGTGCCACCCCTTACCCCCTTTGTTTTGTAATTGAGGGGGATGTTGGAGGGGAGGGAAGCTGACTCAGTGGGCTCCGGGGGGTGAACTCAGGGCCAATGGGGAAGTGGGGGACAGAGAGGGCAGGGGCGGGGGGGGTCAAGGGGCGGGGCGGTTCAGGGGGATGCCGCGCGCGTGGGGCACGAGGAGACTTTGGACTCTGGACTCGGCGATGGCCGATGGCAGCACGCTGGGGGCCACCAAGGCCCCTCAGCACCGCCGCTCCGGGTTCAATTGTCACGCTTAGTTCGAGCAGATGCGGTGTGACCAGGGCGAGAACTCGAGCGAAAGTGAGCGAGAGGGGGTGGGGGTACATAAAGAAAAGCATTAAAAAAATGAAATGATGAACGAAGCAAAGTGCCGACTACACCGAGCATCTTCTTGTTTCCTCTGATCGTAAAACAAGAGAGAGGAGAGAGAGGCCCGGTGTCGTCACCAAAATGACACAACTAAACAAGAAACAGGAACATGTGCAGAAACAACCGCGTCCCAAGGGATATCGACAACATCGCTCACATAGCCCCCTCCGCTAGGTCGACTCGGCCTCAAAAGACGTATCCGGTGCGGTGTGTCACAAGTATCATCCGTGGGGAGATAAATGCGGCCGGGTGTGGTTCTGGCCACACCACCCCCGTCATATGTGATAGGAGCTATCCCTAACAGCACTTGCCCCACCGGCCGTTGTGAGCCACAAGGGGGGGGGCATCTTTGTTGTGACCACACTAGTGGTCACCATGGCGCGTCGCATGGCCACAGGCGCCTGGGTCTTAAGTCACGGCCAGCAGCATCAGCACCATCATCATCAGCAACATCATCAGCAACATCATCATCATTAGCGCCGTCACAAATACCAGCGAGTGGTTGTAAAGGTGGTGGCGGTGGTAATGGCGATAAGTGGGATGTAGATGCTGGTGTTGATGGTGGTGATAGTGACGTTGATGGTGATGTTGATGATAGTGACGGTGTAGATGGTGTTGATGATGATGATGGTGATAGCGATGGTGTTAATGGTGGTGATAGTGATGGTGTTAATGGTGGTGATAGTGATGGTGGTGATTTTGATGGTGTTGATGGTGGTGATGTTGATGGTGGTGGTGTTGATGGTGGTGATGTTGATGGTGGTGATAGTTGGCTACTCTACGCCCCTTGTTGAATTTTGTTTCACCCGAGTCCCCCCTTGCTTGACCCAACATGGTTCTGAGAAATAAAAGTGTGAATAATGAACGTAGATATAGTAGCCCATTGTCCATGTTGTGAGGTATCTTAACTAGAGAGGAACAGCAACCGAATACAGAAACTGAACGGACGCTCCCCACGCGTGACCCCCCCACGTGCTCGCCGATGACTTGGAAAGCACATTGCTTACCATCAATGAGTTTAGGAAGGTCTTTAATATCGTTCTAGGTTACCATATGGACTACAATTTTTTATCGTAGTTATTTTATATTGGCAGATTAATACTTGATTAAATTCAACAATGACTCTCACGTATGATATTTCACAAATGTATAAATAACCTCACGTAACACCTGGGAAATTGACACGTTACCCCCAGGGGTCCGCGTACCCCCCCCCCCCCCCCGGTTGAGAACCACTGCAGTGCTGATGGTGGTGATGGTGACGGTGGTGATGTGGTGATGGTGACGGTGGTGATGTGGTAATGGTGACGGTGGTGATGGTGGTGATGGTGACGGTGGTGATGGTGGTGTAGATGGTGTAGATGGTGATGGTGAAGATGTTTCCCATGCTACTCACCGTCTTCCTCCTTAGCATCTCCCAGTATCACCCCCTCCTCCTTCTTCTTCTGCTCCTCCTCATTCTTCTCTTCTACCTCCTGTTCCGTGGCCATCACCACGGCCACCCCATCCCTCCATGACTCACACCTCCCATCCCTCACTGATCCATTAACCCCATCAATGAGGGCCCCATATTGTGCCACAGTCACGGGTACATCCTCCTCCTCCTCCTCTCCTCCACCCCAGTCCCTCATGTCTCCCCACTACGAATCGCCGGCACTCGGCCACCATAACGTGGAATGGAGACCCCAGTATCTGCGTGTATGGATCTCTCTCTCTCTCTCTCTGTAGCCGTCTCTCTGCAGTTGTCTCTGTAACTGTCTCCCTGTAGCTGTCTCACTGTAGCTGTCTCCCTATTGCGGTCTCTGTAAATCTCTGTAGTTGTCTCTGTAACTCTCTATAGCTGTATCTGTTGCTGTCTCTGTAGTTGTCTCTACAGCTATATCTGTAGCTGTTTCTCTGTAGTTGTCTCTGTAGCTGTCTCTCTGTAGCTGTCTCTGTTGCTGTCTCTGTAGTTGTCTCTGTAGTTGTCTCTGTAGCTGTCTCTGTTGCTGTCTCTGTAGTTGTCTCTGTAGCTGTCTCTCTGTAGCTGTATCTGTTGCTGTCTCTGTAGTTGTCTCTATAGTTGTCTCTACAGCTGTATCTGTAGCTGTCTCACTACAGCTGTCTCTGTAGCTGTCTCTCTCTGTAGCTGTCGCTGTAGTTGTCTCTGTAGCTGTCTCTGTTGCTGTATCTGTAGTTGTCTCTGTAGTTGTCTCTGTAGCTGTCTCTACAGCTGTATCTGTAGTTGTCTCTGTAGTTGTCTCTGTAGCTGTCTCTGTTGCTGTCTCTGTAGTTGTCTCTGTAGTTGTCTCTGTAGCTGTCTCTGTTGCTGTCTCTGTAGTTGTCTCTGTAGCTGTCTCTGTTGCTGTCTCTGTTGCTGTCTCTGTAGTTGTCTCTATAGTTGTCTCTACAGCTGTATCTGTAGCTGTCTCACTACAGCTGTCTCTGTAGCTGTCTCTCTCTGTAGCTGTCGCTGTAGTTGTCTCTGTAGCTGTCTCTGTTGCTGTATCTGTAGTTGTCTCTGTAGTTGTCTCTGTAGCTGTCTCTACAGCTGTATCTGTAGTTGTATCTGTAGTTGTCTCTGTAGTTGTCTCTGTTGCTGTGTCTGTAACTCTCTATTTCTGTATCCCTCTCGCTGTGCCACCGCGGGTCCTCCTCTGCCCTTTGCCGCAAGCTTCACGCGCGCGCGCGCCGATTTCAGCTTCCGCCACTGAATCAGTGGCGACCCCCCCCTCGATTATAAACAAAATTTGCGTACGAGGCCACGCCCCCACCCCGTGGGCCTGGCGTGCCGTGGAATCTGCGCAACACGTGCCTGGTGAGTGACGCACGCGTGTGTGACCGCGTGTGAACTGACACTGGTGACATGGTCATGTCGCCATGGCCTCAATCTGCACCTAGCCTGGCACAGTCACCGTGGTGACATCACCACCACTTAGTGGCGAACGGCGGCTGTTATCTGTGTATTTTGTGTGTAACTTTTCGTGTGTGTGGGTGTTATGCATATCTATGTTTACGTATGTGCATTGATGTATATTAGGTGAGGAGCGGTGGCGCAGTGGTTACCGCACTGCACTACAAACTCGAGTTCGATTCCTGCTGATGGCCAACATCGGTGACAAATATCGGAACCGGTCCACAGCCTCCACGAGGTCGACTCAGCCTTAAATGAGTTATTGGTGCGGTGTGTAAATATTAGCACTGGGGAGATGAAGGCGGTCGGGTGTGGTCCTGGCCATACCACGTCTTCTTGTGATGTTCCGGCCTCCAATAGGTGCTCGCTAACAGCACTTACCCCAGCACCCTGCGTGGGCTACACGTGGATGTTTGTCTTATGTGTTGGCAAATCAGCCCCTTCCTGTGACGGCCAACTTCCTCTACCCACTCACCACGCGCTATGCACTCATCAGCACTCACCACCCACGACACTCACCACCCTCTACTCGCCTCGACACAAGTCACCCACACACCACACTCTCCACTCACCCACACACCACACTCTCCACTCACCCACACACCACACTCTCCACTCACCCACACACCACACGCTTCACTCACCCATACACAAACCACAACAATAGCCGCTATTTGCCACTAAGAGGCGGTGATGTCACCACGGCGCTTGTGTCAGGCCACATGCATTATGGAAGGCTTGCTGGCAGGTCACCGGACAGATTCAGGTGCCATGGGTTGACTGAACTCACTGGTAGATGCACCACCTAAGCCTCCTACTTTGCCAACGCGCTGTGTTTTAGTCGCCCGGTGCTCCGCTCGTTGTTTTGAGCGTCGCTCCTCTGCCCTCCATAGTTGCTGGAGGGTGGCTGCCGCAAACTGCCCAGTCACGTCCTTCACGAGCCTCTTCCACAGAAGCCGATCTTGACACCGCTGGTACCAATCTTCAGCAAGTCCAATCAGCCCCATATCCTTCTGTACTACATCAGTCCATCTCTTCTCTAGCCCGTACCGCGTCCGTTTAGCCCCCTCTATCCGGCCAAACATTAGCTGCTTGGACATGCAGTGGCTGGGCTACACGGCCCAGCCAATGCAGCTTTGCCTGCTGGAGGAGCTCACCGATGGATTGGGTCCAGATCTTTCAATAATCTGAGCTCCTCAGACAATCCAGTCTGGTCAAACCCAGGATGGATCGCAGGCAGGCTAAAATTAATATTTAAAACCGGCGCAGGTGTTCGATCGAGCGCTCCACATTTCCTAAACATAGAAAAGGGATGGAGGGCACGACTGTGGACGAAAATATCCAGAGCTTCGCGTGGAGTTGCAGGACAGGTAGGTTCCCCACAGCGTTATGCAGACGATTAAAAGATAATGCCGTTTGACTGATTCGGAGTGAGACCTCTATTGTCAAACCGCAGCTGGTCATAAGCACACCGCTCACACACTACGATCACCCTCACACTCTCCCACACGACTCACCCTACACTCACCCACAATCTACACACACGACACCCTGCACTCATTCAGTCACTCACACTCCACACCCTACACTCACCCTGACCCACATGCCACACTCTGCACTCACCCACTCACGTCGCAGTATTCAGAATAGTTTATTTTGAGGAGTCACGTGCCCGCCATCATCGTCATCAGTGTTCACGCGCGACAGCTGCCCGAGACCGCGTGCTACACGCGTGCGTGCCTGTGTGAGCATGTGAGGAAGGCTGTTGAGGGGGCGGAGTCGTGTTTGTGTGATGTTGAGGTGAGTGTGTATTCGTCTGTGTGCGAGTGTATTAGTCTGGAGGTGTGCGTGAGGTTGAGATGTGTGTGAGGAGGTGTAATATCAAGGGGCGTGAGGTAGAGGTGAGTCTAGGAGGCGTGTGTGTGAGGCGGTGTGCTAGTGGCGAGCGGTGGCGCAGTGGTTAGCGCACTGCGCTACGAACCCTTGTGACACGAATTCGATTCTCGCTCACGGTTAAAACCAGTGACGATTATCTGAACCAGTCCTGTGGCTCCCCTAGGTCGACGCACCTCATATTAGCGTGATTGGCAACGTATGGTGCGAAAGAAGTTCAACATACATACAAATGAGTACCTGGTGCAGTGTGTAAAATCAACGCTGGGGGGACAAAGGCGGGCGGGCATGGTGCTGGCCATCCACTGCCTCGTGTGCCATGCCGGCCTTCATAGGTGCTTCTCGCGACCAGCACTTGCCCCAAAAGTCCGTTAAGGCTATACGGGGGATCGTTGTCTTGTCTAAGTGAGGAGGTGTGAGTGAAGTTGAGGTGTAAGTCCGAACACTTGTTATCAAGTCCAGTCAACCACGAACACACACAGAGTCAGCTCTTTGAATGAACAACGTCTGCCAGGGGTGACCAGTTCCAGGTCGTTGGTCCGGAGAGCCGACCGTGGAGAGACGGCGCTGGCCGCGGTGCCGCGTGCGGTTCGCGCTACGAGGGGGCAGCGGCAGCGGTGGATTGCGGTGGGATCCTGGGCAGCGTCGATTCGGGACCAGTGAGGCTGGGCACTGCTCATGGGGATAGGGGGGAGCGGACTGGTGCTTGTTGCAAACGAACCGGCAAAGGTTGATAGGCGACGGTGTGTTTGATGTAACTCGTGGCGAGGCACTCTCGCTGACAGTGTTGGAGAAGATGGCAGGAGCTCTGTGTGTCGATGTGGGGGTGAGGAGGAGTTCTGTGTGACGATGTGGGGGGTGAGGAGGAGCTCTGTGTGACGATATGGGGGTGAGTAAGAGCTCTGTGTGTCGATGTGGGGGGTGAGGAGGAGCTCTGTGTGTCGATGTGGGGGTGAGGAGGAGCTCTGTGTGACGATGTGGGGTGAGGAGGAGCTCTGTGTGACGATGTAGGGTGAGGAGGAGCTCTGTGTCGATGTGGGGGTGAGGAGGAGCTCTGTGTGTCGATGTGGGGGTGAGGAGGAGCGCTGTGTGTCGATGTGGGGGTGAGGAGGAGCTCTGTGTGTCGATGTGGGGGTGAGGAGGAGCTCTGTGTGTCGATGTGGGGGTGAGGAGGAGCTCTGTGTGTCGATGTGGGGGTGAGGAGGAGCTCTGTGTGACGATGTGGGGGTGAGGAGGAGCTCTGTGTGTCGATGTGGGGGGTGAGGAGGAGCTCTGTGTGACGATATGGGGGTGAGGAGGAGCTCTGTGTGTCGATGTGGGGGTGAGGAGGAGCTCTGTGTGACGATGTGGGGGTGAGGAGGAGCTCTGTGTGTCGATGTGGGGGGTGAGGAGGAGCTCTGTGTGACGATATGGGGGTGAGGAGGAGCTCTGTGTGATGATGTGGGGGGTGAGGAGGAGCTCTGTGTGACGATGTGGGGGTGAGGAGGAGCTCTGTGTGACAATGTGGTGGGTGAGGAGGAGCTCTGTGTGACGATGTGGGGGGTGAGGAGGAGCTCTGTGTGACGATGTGGGGGGTGAGGAGGAGCTCTGTGTGACGATGTGGGGGTGAGGAGGAGCTCTGTGTGACGATGTGGGGGTGAGGAGGAGCTCTGTGTGACGATGTGGGGGGTGAGGAGGAGCTCTGCGTGACAATGTTGGGCGTGAGGGCGAGGAGCTCTACGTGACGATGGGGGGTGAGGATGAGAAAGAGCTCTGTGTGACGATGTGGGGGTGAGGAGGAGCTCTGTGTGACGATGTGGGGGGTGAGGAGGAGCTCTGCGTGACAATGTTGGGCGTGAGGGCGAGGAGCTCTACGTGACGATGGGGGGTGAGGATGAGAAAGAGCTCTGTGTGACGATGGGGGGTGATGATGAGGAAGAGCCAGGCGTGACGATGTTGGGCGTGAGGGTGTGGGGGTGAGTGGAGGTGAGGGTGGGGTGTGAGGGTGAGCTCTACGTGACGATGTCGGGCGTGACTGTGAGGAGCAACTCCTCCTGGCCGCGCCGTATGAGGAGAAGCAGCTTCTCCTCCCTCTGCACCGCCTCCTGCAGTGACGTGGTGCGCGTGGCCACTCGGCCATTCACAGCCACCACCACGTCGCCGTTTCTCACCCCAGCGCTACAAACAGCACAACATCCACATCACCGTTACTCACCCCGGCACTAACACCACCACCACCACAACATCCACAATAACAACATCACTGTTACTCACCCCGGCACTAACACCATCACCACAACATACACAACAACATCACTGTTAGTCAACTCGGCACTAACATTCACCACAACATCCACATCACTGTTACTCACCCTGGCACTAACACCATCAGACGAGGTAGTTAACATCTCGCCACCGTAGTGCCCCAACAACAACTACCACCACCATATCACCATTACCCGGGCACTATCAACAGCAACCACCACAACAATAGTATCAACCACAACATCACCACAACATTACGGCCACCGCCGGCACAGGGAGTAAGGTCACCTGGCAGCGGGTGAGCCCGGGATGACCTCGTGCACGTAGATTCCGCCGGAGACATCCGGGAAATCCCGGAACCGGAGCCGGAGCTCCTTAATCAAACTGGGACATCATCATCATCAACACCACCATCATAATTATCATCATTACAAGCAACACCATCATAATCAACGTCATCATCACCACGCTCATTATCATCACCACCATCTTCACCACCATTAACATCATCACTACCACCATCATCATCATCACCACGGAACCGGAGCAATAGCTCCTTAATCAGACTGGGACATCAACATCATAATCATCACCACCATTATCATACCATAATTATCATCACCACCACCATCATCACCATCATTAACATCAATATCATCATCACAAACATTATAATCACGGAACCGGAGCCAGAGTTCCTTAATCAGACTGGAACATCACCATCATGACCATCATTAACATTATCATCACTACCGTCATTATTATCATCATCACCGTCATCATCACTAGCATCATCAGCACGGAATCAGAATAGGACCTCTTTAATCAGACTGGGACATCATTGCGACGATATGGTGATTAACACTCACTGTACCGTTGGGTCTGCAAGTTCGTGCTTGTGTAGAGTTCTGATGTTAATTGCTGTATCGTTCTGCAAACAGGTTTTGAATGTTTGGTACCAAAATGCTGCACGCGCGATAATTGTTTTGACGTCTGTCAATGGTAATGAGGGCTGGCGGGAGGTGTGGGAATAAACTTCCTCTGTACATGGAGCAGTGCCCCGTGTCAACCTCCTTCTGTTCCTCTCTCAAAGTTTCACCTCCTCCTCTTCTTCATCGCCCATTCCCCTCCTCCGTCCCCTCGCCCGACCACTACGTCCGATCCCTCCCTTGCCCTTCCGTGACCCCCATGCGCCCTCTGTTACGGTCACTCATTCCTCAGCCCTTTGCATGCCCCTTGCCATCTAGATCACTCTCGATTTGTTACCGCTTTTAAACTACGTACAGCGCCTTGAGCTAGGACGCTCTATATAAAAATAAATTAAGATAATTACCTCACCTATTTAAACAGCAGTTCAGACAATTAAATGCATCACTGCCAGGAGACAAAAGCGTGGCTGAGACTTCACATTTGAACTGGACAGAAAGCGTGATTGTGTTTAGTTATAACTTTATATCCATGATAGAGGTTTTTTGGGTTAGATCGCGTAAATATATAAATGTGTCACTAAAACCCGCCACCATCCGACACAGCCAACTAGTAAGGGTTGTCACGTAAACAGAATGTAGTGTACTTCACGGAGGCACACACTTGAACTTGGAGGCAACACGTTTATTACACGGCCCCAACAGGGCTACTACATAACCGTACACAAGTAAACTAGACCCTGACGGGGTCAGTCAGTAACACTCTGAATGATCCACGATGTCGAGCGAAGACCGAAGATCGAGGAGGCGTAGCACGGCGGGTTTATACCAGAAGACAGACCATGAGTGCTCTCGGGACTTCCCTTTTATGTTCCCGAGCGTGAGCTCGCTCCGTTTTCGGCCACGCCCCCTTCTGTATCTCACCAGAAGGTTCTTGACCGAACATCACGTGTCCCTCAAGCCACCCCTCGGGCCCCCCCCCCCCCCGCTACCCTGTCCCGATCACTTGCCCTCTTGGGTTCACCCAGACTGTCACGACCGTCGCCAGAACTATCCCCCTGAGGGCTCGCTTCCATGCATACCCACTTCATTGCCAGAAAGAGGCTCAAGACGTACAATTCCACTCTTGTGACAGTAGCTGGCACTAAACGCCAGAGTGACTCCATTTACGTCACTACATCACCCCCCGCCCTTTAGAAACAACCGCTGAAAGAGCAATAAAAACGCTATCTATCTATCTATATATAAAAGTCATTGTGTGTGGGTTTGTGTGTGGTCGCGCCCTTGGCTCTCCAACGGTGGGGTTTATGTAAAAAAAAAATAGCCAGGCACCACGCCGTAAGCCCCGTGGTCAGCAAGCGCTATTCCTTTTTTACATCCTGCAACTTAAATTTAGTTTAATTAGCGATTTACTGCAATTTTTGTGCGCTTCGCATTTATTGATTTATGACGCGTGCACGACCATACCAACTCACGCGCCTTTGGTGGGGAGGATGGCCCATGCGAAGTCACACGCCTTCGGTGGGAGTGAGGGTCGCGTTAAAAATCCTATAAAAATGACACTAAACGCTAAGGTAAATTCTTCACTGTCTCATGTCCCCCCCCACCACGATGCGTGCAGTTATTACTACTATACAGTCGGTAGATGCACCACTATAGGCCATAGATATTACTGCAGAGCGGCCGGGGACATTGTGCCTGGGGGGAGGTGGGGGGGGGGGGTAGGGGTAGCAGCCCAGCCCCAGACTGCGAAGGTGCCATCTCGGCCGGCTGGACAATCTAGGCGAGGCCGGAGGCTCTGCACGGGACTAGACCTCAACACGCCACTCTGTCAGGTGAGTACTTTGTGCTATAGAGTCGATAAATACTGCTATAGAGTCAGCATGTACTACTGTAGTGATAGCAGGTACCACCACAGTCAGTATGCACTGGTGTAATCATAGCAGGTACCACCACAGTCGGTATGCACTGCTGTAATCATAGCAGCTACCAACTCGGTATGCATTGCTGCAGTGAAAGCAGGTACCACCACAATATACACTGCTACAATCATTCCGTGGGTCTACACCGCCTCCTACCCATAAGACAAGCACATTGGTTCCCTGGTGGCAATCGTGACAGTGCATCTGCATTTCCGTGGCAGACACCTTTTCTGTATAGGACTTTAAACGAGTAGTCCTGGAGGACTTCCAACAATCGGGAAAGCTGCCCGGACAGTTGTTCAACCCGCACCGCATACTGGAGCGCTGTGCGATCCGTGCGTACCACAAAGTCTCTGCCATAGAGGTACGGATGGTATTGTTGCATAAAATACACGATGGCCAACAATTTACGACGCATCACGCAATAGCGCTGCTCTGCTGGGGACAATACATGACTCCCATATGCCACAACATTCTCCACCCCATCCACAACTTGAGACAACATGGCGCCAATCCCGGTATCACTGGCGTCTTTGTCCAGGATGAAAGGCAAGGATAAATCAGGGTATCGGAGGGGAGGTGCCTTCACCAACCCATCCCAAAACACGACAAATGCTTCCTCCTCATCCTTCCTCCATCAAAATTTTTGGCCTTTAGCCATTAGAATATGGAGCGGTTTTGCGATTGTTGTGAACCTGGGGACACAGTAGCCGATATTTGTCTTATAATCCCCAGGGATCTGCCGTTTGCGGCAAAACAAGGAATCTCAATGGTGCGAAGTGTGCACGCTTTTTGTGGCAAACAATAAAAAAAAATCCGATATTATGGTAGCGGATGCACCGGTGTCAATGAGCATCCGCACCTCTACCCCCTGTATGGTTCCAATGACGGCTGATAATCCCACCGACGCAGTGATAATACGGTGGTCCAATGCCGACCACTGACCAGGCTGCCATGGTCACCCGTCACCTGCTAAACCCCGATTCTCCCGCTCAACGACTCGACAAGGCAGTCCAACACGCGAACACGACCTGGCGCCCGAATACAATGGGTGAGGTGAATGCAAGGGCCGGGTGTGTGGTGTGCCGCGACTTGCCTGGGGACCCAGCGGAGTAGAGGATGGCCGGGGGGAGGATGACGGCGCCATGGAGAGTCTCCCTCGATCGGCCCGGCATCCCAACGAGATGTGTCCCGGCAGGCCGCACTTGAAGCAGTTGATGGGAGTGCTTTCCGGGCGAAGGCCGGTCCCCTTCCTCAGGTCTTGATCTTCTTTCCACTCTGCCTCGTCCTTCCTCCACCTGTTGCCGTCGAGCGAAGCGAAAGCTTGAGATGGATCAATGGCTTCGGGCGATTTTGCCAACTCGGAGGGTCTGGCGCACGCCGCCACCCTCGCACGCTACTTTAAATTGAAGTGCGCCTAAAGACACTGCGCGACCTTTAAAGATGACAAGTCGTCATCTTGTGGCTGGCAAAACGATGTCCAGTTCCTTGGCCAGCCCCAACATGTGCTCCAGGACCAAGGAGTCCAACCATCCTTGTCCTTCTTCAGGTATACAGCCTGCACCAGTGACACAAGCACGCTGCAGAAGGCAAGGGTCATCTCGGCCTCCCCCCGCCGTCGTGCAGCAAACTTGTGTCGCACATTAGATAGCGGGTAAAAAATTCCTGCCATCTGGGCAAGAACTTGTGGAAGTGATTGGCGGTCCTCTGATGAAATGCCATAAAACGCCCCCAAGGTGTCGTCGCCCAGCGGAGTCGGAAGCGCCCGCAGCGCCTCCACGTCCATCCACGCCGCAAGGTTGCAGGTAGCAGTGAAGCGTTGGCGAAACGCCGCCCAGTCGCCTCCCGCCACCACAAGTTCCTTAACAAAAGAAAGCTTCTTCTGTAGTGTCGGCACCGTGGACTGCAGGTTTTTCGGGGGGTCTGTTTTGGTGGGAACTCCATCCCGTCCGTCGGCCTAAATGGCGGCCACATGCACGGGCCACGTTTCTTGTGTTTCCTACGCGCGGGAAACAGAAGCAGCGGAGTCTTCTCCCCGTGGCACCGGCACGCCGACCCCTTTGGTTGGCTCCCCCAGCCCCAGCTCGGCGATCAGTGCTGCTGCGGCAGCCAGCAGGTCAGCGAGGCGGCGGCCGATCGATCGGCGCTTTCCCCCCAACAATGGCGGCGTAGTGAGGGCGGGCTCATCTGGCTGCTCCGCCGGCAGAGCCCCCTCGCTCTCTGTCTCTGGGGCTGCTGCTCCCGGGGCTGTCTGGGGAATCACCCCATCATCGTCCTCCTCATCTGAAGACGCCTTGGTGAGTAGTTGTCACCTAGTTAACATTGCGCTACACTAGGGCTATCACCGAGCTACTATTTTAACTTCTAACGCCAGATGTAGTGTACTTCACGGAGGCACACTTCAACTTGGAGGCAACACGTTTATTACACGGTCCCAACAGGGCTACTACATAACCGTGCACAAGTTAACTAGACCGCAACGGGGTAACTACATAACTGGGTCAGTCAGTAACACTCTGAATGACCCACGATGCCG